GTGTGTGTGTGTGTTTGTCTCAGTGTGTGTCTGTGTGTGCCTCTGTGTGTGTTTGTGCTTCAGTGTGTGTTTATGCTTTTGTATGTGTGAGTGTGTATTTGTTTTCCTGTTTGTGTGTGTGTGTTTCTATAGTATTTGTGCTTCCGTGTGTGTGTTTGTACTTTTGTGTGTTTTTGTGCTTGTGCATCTGTATGTGTGCTTCTGTGTGTGTGTGTGTGTGTGTTTTTGTCCTTGTGCATCTCTGTGTGTGTGTTTGTGCTCTGCATGACTGAATTTACTGCTATTGTTGGTCTGTACTGTTGGTCACGCCTACATTTTATCCACTCTCTTTTAATTGGATGGCTGCTCAAAGGACTGGACTGGACTGGACTGGACTGGACGGTTGCACACATCAGACTGGAATGCACTGACTAATTTAGGATAAATAAGTTCTGGAAAACTATTAAAACATGATTAATATAGTTGTATTAATCGAAAAAGTTTAAATAAATTTTACATCAATTTTAGGTAAAATAAATTAGGAAAAATATTGTTTTGGCAAATAACTAAAACAAATCCAGTTAAAGTGTTTAAACTACTACAATTAAAACTGAAATAAAAATAAAGCTAAAAAACACAGCTCCAAAGGTATGTGCAATAAAAAAAATGGAAATGTATATATGTATAAAAAAATCTCACTTTTAAAAATAGTAATAATATCAATAATTTCAGTTGTCATAACACTAAATGACATACTATTATAACAAGTATATAGTGAATAATCTTATATAAACAATTATAAGAATACTTAATAAAATCATATACGCTTTATATTACAGTATGGAAATGCTAAAATAGTTTACTCAAAATTAGAAGACAATAATTGTAAATAATAATAATAATAATAATAAATTACATAAAGAGCGTGAATTCTGTTCAATCAACTGCAGATATTTTGTGCTTTGTGACATTTTTTCCACAATAATTAAGCACATTTTTAAACTCATCTCATGCCTTTATTTTTCTAATTCATTTTAACAATAATTCTTTTAACTTTATATAATTACATCTTTAATTTAAAAAAAATTACCAATTATGCTAAATAAATGCAATACAAATAACAGTAGAAAATACTTTAGAGTTTATATAAAATGATTGGGTTCACAGCTTTTTTTGCAAAATATAACATGCATTCACACATACACATACATACATACATACACACATACACACATACAGACAGTACGTACATACATACATACATACATACCTACATACATACATACATACATACATACACACATACATACAGTACGTACATACATACATACATACATACGTACATACATACATACATAAATTGCAATTTTGTATGCAGCTTTTTTTTTTATAAAATTGTATTTTATTTTTAAAACATTTATTTAAAGTATGTTTTAAAATGTTAATAAAAAATAATTATTGTTTTAAAAATATAATCAAAATATAACAAAAAAATGAATGATTATTGTTTTTAAAAAAAGTATCAAAATATAAAATAAATAAATTAATGATTATTGTTTTAAAAATATAATCAAAATATAACAGAAATAAATGAATAAAGTTAAATAAATTTTTAAAATGTATTTATTTGTGCTTTAAGATTTCTCACTGCTAGTCAATCCCACTGTTAACTAAACCGTATCTGCAGCTCAGTCTTACCTGTACTAGTATGGTACAGTGGTAACTCAGCCTGCGTGCTTTTATATCCATCCTTTCACTTCCATGACAAACACATCCAGATTATCTCTAACCTCAGAGTTTAACGTGACATAAACGTGACATAAAGCCTCATAACAGCGGCGGAGAAAAGGAGGAGAATAAGTGAATGAATGAATGAGCTGCTCCTGTCAGAACATATTAAACTCACACAAAGCAGACGAGAACAAACCTTGAATTAACCCAGCAAAATAACCCAGCAGAACTGCAGATTTACTGAAGCTAAACTCACAATTCTTGCAGATGTCTTAAAAACGGGGCAGATGGGGCTGGAAAATCTACAAATATGTTGTTTTTTGTATTCTATGTATTATAATTTATGTATATACAGTATAATGTTTAAAGGGGCAGCTACACAAATGCTTGCCTAGCAGGTTGCATTTATGTAAAAATAAATAAATAAACATTTTGTCTTGCTAACTTAAAATCTGAAAAATTAATCAATTAATTAATTAAAATAATAACACAATTTCAATATATAATTACTTAAACTAAAATTAAAATAAAGATCAAAATTGTATAAAAATAAAATAATTCGATAATTAAATTACACATTTTCAAGATACACACAAAACACAAAACAACAACAACAACAACAATAACAATAATAATAATAATAATAATAATAAAAGGACATCCTAATTGATAAAACTAAAATATAGAACTATAAATAACCTTAATAAAGAGTGAAATTGTGTAAAAATATTGTTTCCTTTTGGCATGATGTTTATTTTTAAACTATAAAAATATAAATTATTTTAGTTGACCCAATATAAAATTATATATTATTATAACAATATTGCATAAATAATAATATATAATTTTAAAAAAATAATTCTATTAAATTCTATAAACTGAATAAATAAGTGTAAATAAGTTACAAATAAACAACAAAATAAAATGTAAAAAATAAACTCATTCAATTGATTTTGTTGTGTTGTAACTTGATCTTAGAAAACGAAAGTTCAAATGAAATACCCATTTAACGTTTTATACGCACAGCTAGTGTTTTTCAGACAATGTTGATCTTCTGGTGAAAAGTTTATGCGACTATTATCAATTTCATAACCACCAAGGGCCGGCCCTTGCTCTTAAATGTGAGTCTGTTCTGTGCTTTTGCTTTGTTTAGGCATGAAAACACTTTGAAATAAATATAAAAACGGCGGGATTCCCATTCTTTTCATTACATGTGCCTTCGCACACTTTAATGCAATACTGAAAACAGTCATATAGCGGTGCGTGACTCAGCTGACGCGCTCCATAGTGATAAATAGACGCTGTTTCCCAGACGGATTCTGTCTGCGATTTGAAGCGGAGCAAAAGTCTGGGTTTTGGGTTTGTGTTTGAACAGACATATACACATAATTAATAATAATAAAATCTAAACATGTCAATCTTGGTGGGGTTTTTTTCAAAAACAACTAATTTTGTTCTAATTGAGCATAAAAATTAGTAAAGCAATCGAATGCTTTCATTACAAAGTTAGATATGTGCATTTTTAAAGTGACACCTCTGTTATTTCATGTAATCAAACAGAAAATCTGAATAAGTGCTCTTTAATCAGAATGTATAAGTTTTACAGTAAGGAAAATATTAATGAGATTAAGTTGAATATTTATATTTATAATAGCTATTAATTTAAATAAGCTGAACTGTTTGCTAATGTATACTATTTATTTTTTATTTTTTGTTGCAATTAATAAAAATAAAACGTATTACTGACCATTTAACTGTTTATTTACATTGAAACAGCTCCAGAACACATTTAGTAATTTGGGTGCATTTGTGTCAGACTCATCGTTTCAGAAAGGCTTGAATAAACCACAAATACAACAAATAAACTTAGTTGGTATTATTGACTAATGAGCTGTATTTCAGCTTCATCCATGTCTGTCTCTATCACTGACTGCTGTTTATCTGGCATAAGGCATGATGAGAAGCAGGCATGCACATGGGAACAGTGGGCGGGGAGAAGCAGCTCAGTTGCATTTAAAGCCACAAGCTACAAAAACAGCTACACTGTACTCAGACACCAAAACAGGCAGATTCTGGAAGCTATAATGAATTATCTGATGGGTATTATGAGCTGAAATTTTACAGACACATACTGGAGACACCAAAGGCTTATCTTATTTCTTGTAAAAGAGGTAAAATAGGTGCCCTTTACAGAAATTAGATCTTAAATGTGGCAATTTCGTATGGAATGAAAATTCACTGGAAGCACTGGGGCTGGCTAACTGAAATTAAAAGTCCATGTGCATATACCCCATTCTGGAGTTGTTTCAAGACAAAAAAAAAAAAAAAGTCTGAAGGCCTCCAGAAGAGCACAGACGGACACAGCAGTGCAGTTTGCGGAGCTGATCAGATTAAACATAATGAGTTAACAGCATTTACTCTGCTTTATTTCTGGACACACTGAGTGTGTGCGTGCGTGTCTGTGTTAAATATGCGTGGTGTGTGAGTCTGTGTGTGTGTGTGTGTGTGTGTGAGACTTCCTGCGTTAAATATGCGTGTGTGTGTGTGTGTGTGTAAGTGTGAGAGACTTTCTGTGTTAAATATGCTTGTTTGTATGTGTTAATTGCATAAATACATGTGTGTGTGTTAAATGTGTGTTTGTGAGTGAAACGTGTGATTAATGTGTGTTGTGTTTGAGTGTATGCTTCTGTAAAATATGTGTGTTGTGTGTACTTTGAGGGTGTGTTTAACTGTGTGTGCATTTGTGTTAAATATGTGTGTTGTGTGTACTTTGAGGGTGTGTTTAACTGTGTGTGCATTTGTGTTAAATGTGTATGTAAATGTGTGTGTGTCTTTCTGTGTTAAATATGCGTGTTGTGTGTGAGACTTTCTGCGCTAAATATGCGTGTTGTGTGTGTGTGTGTGTGTGTGACTTCCTGCGTTAAATATGCGTGTTGTGTGTGTGACTTTCTGCGTTAAATATGCTTGTTTGTATGTTTTAATTGCATTAATGCATGTGCGTGTGTGTTAAATGCGTGTTTGTGAGTGAAACGTGTGATAAATATGTGTTGTGTTTGAGTATATGCTTCTTTTAAATATGCGTGTTGTGTGTACTTTGAGCGTGTTTAACTGTGTGTGCATTTGTGTTAAATGTGTGTGCAAGTTATAACTGTGCGTGTTGTGATAAATGTATGTGTGTGTGTTCATGACTAAATGTGTGTGTTGTTTATTAAGTCATATTGTGTTGTATTGTGTGTAATATGCGTGTATCCACAGCAGAATGACCATACAGTATGTGTGCGTGTGTGTACCTGCTGCAGTATGACCATGGTGTGTGTGTTTCCTCCCGGACATCAGACGTCTCACACCAGACCCCTAAAACAAACACGCATTAATTAGATTTATACAGAAAGAATAAACACACACACACACACACACACACACACACACACACACACACACACACACACACACACACACACAATTAGCTTTAAGAATCTGGTGAGCAGAAACAAAACACCAAAAGCAGGAGCAGCAAATTACAGCTCATGAGAGAGAACAGTGTGTGTGTATGTGCGGTGTTAAATAATTTAGCTATGGATGAACTTCCTCATGTTTCCCTTTAACACAGACTGACCTCTGACCTGCTTATACACACTCAAACAGCAACACAACACACACACCCTCCGACTGTTACAGATTTGACCATCAGAGAAATACTTGTCAGGCTTTTAAACATATTTTTAATTCGTTTTCTTTGATTCTACTTTCATTTTAATTTTAGATCAAGTTTTAGTGTTTTATTTATTTTACATTGTTGTGTGAAAAGTTTTATTTAAATTTTTATATATTACAGGTTTGTCATTATACATTATTAGGCTTTTATTGTGCTATGCTTTAATTGTAATTGCATTTATTTTTTTCAATATAGTTTTTATAATCATTATACATATATTTAATAATAAATGTAATCAATTTTTCTCTCAACTTAAATTAAATTTAAATAATTTTGCATTTAATTTGCATTTTGTATTAAATTTAAATTATTTTACTCTTATTTTTCACTTGGATTCAATTTTTTTGTTTGTTTCTCCTACAATTTATTTTTTAATAAAATCAAAAAAATCAACAATAAAACTGTTTTATAATCATTAATTTCAGTTTGGTTGAGGTTACATTTTAAATTAAGTTAAGAAAACATTTGCAAAAAATAAATTTCAATTTTTTTCTTATTATTACATATATATTTTTTCTTATTGTATTATATTTTATTTATTACGTTGTATTACAATATTTACATATTATATTTATTCTCATATTTCAGTTAATGTTGATTTTAAGTATGTGAAATGTAGTATTTTCCTCTTCATCAGTAATAACAGTGGTCAAGCTCTGTTGTAAGTCTAGCTGGTTAATCTGGGCTGGACACGCAGGCCGATCAGGATAAATGTCTGAATAGAGCGACATGCACATGGACATTAATATTTTACTGCCTAATTACAGCAGCTGACGTCTGCAAATAAAGGTCACACTGTTGGGATGAACGGGAGCAGAGGGAGAGCCAGGATATGGGTTAAATGAACAAAACTTTTAAATAAAAATGACTACAATGTTTTTAATATTATTGCAATTTTCTTAAAATATTTAGTTGAAGTATTTTAAATAAAAATAAATGAGTAAATTAATTTATTTTAAAAAAATGGCTAAAATGTAATAATAAAATGCAATTAAACTAACAATTGAAAACAAAATCAAAAATAAACATTAATTCATGATATTAATAAAACTGATGACAAAATCTCAATACTACAAAAGAAAAATAAATAAAAAGTACACAAAAAGCAAGAAAGTTAATCAAAGAAAATGTTTCAAACTCAAATTAAAATAAAAAGGGGGACATTTTAAATAAGTTGTACTTTTGTTATTTAAAATAAAAAAAAAGTTGAGTAAAGTAAAATTAGATGCTAATAAAAAAATCTAATAAAAAAATGACAAAAACAGTAAAACGACTAAAACATTTTTAAATAAAATTGGGGAAAAATATTATTTATAATTTTTTGACCAATATTGTCTTGAAATGAAACATCTAAAAATAGATAGATAAATTACGAAAACTGTTATCATTTTAAGTTATTGTAAATTGTACATTTGAATTGCTGTAAATTGCAATAATAATAATAATCATCACAATATTAAAAGTTTTATTTAAAAACTAAATTCATGATAATAATCAGATTAAAAATAGAATATTTTTTCTATAAAACAAGAAAAATATAGAAAAATGTACACAAAAAAACACAACAAATACAAAAAAGCAAGACAATGATTAAATGAAATTGATTAAAACTCTAAAAAAATAAAATAAAAAGGGAAATAAAAATAAAATAAAAACAATAAACTTAATAAAACAATACCAGTATCTCAATAATACAAAAAAAGACAAAATCAGGAAAACCTCTATTAACTTCTATAAAAAATAAACACCAGTGTTGTGTTTTATATCCAGTAAAGCCAGTGCAACAGCTAAACTAACATGATAAAGACTGAACAACACAAATAAGTATGAAAATAATCAAACTGTGACCTTCAGACTAAAACAAACCCAAAATTCAGATGGTGATGAATTTAAAACAAACCATAAGACCGTACAGTCATTATCATGAACCAAAGACGATACAGTAGATACAGTATAAAACAAGTACGGAAGGATCAGAGCAAATTAAGAAGATCTTAGTCCAAAATCCACAGGGTGCCGCTCTGATCACGACAGCACAGATTCGAGAGTCTTAAAATGATCTCCAGGCGGATCCTGTATACGGCTCATCCTGTACTCATCTAAACTTTAGTGCAACCGTCACGATTGCCTCAAAGTAAACCACGGTCAATTTTCTGATGATTACCGTTCCAAATGTTCATTATCATTAAAGTTCCAATAAAATTTAAATAACGTTTTTTAGGTGTTAGTATCAGTATGTTAGTCTTAAGGATATTTATATAAGCTAGTATGCTCCAAAATAGTGACACAATTCACATTTAAAAGATATAAAGGTGGAAGTTTGTCACTTCGACTTGAATTAGATTAACGATTTTTTTTTTATCACATTACTTAAGTTTCTTATCAAATCTTCTGACCAATCAAATGCTCTCTAGTATCTGACATGCCCCGCCCCCTTCAAGATCCTTCTCAGTGGCTGCATCTGAAATCGCCTACTACTGGAGTATGTACTATATTTGTATTTACTACACAATCTTTAGAAAAAAATATATACTATAGAGTATAAATATGAATATGAATGGAATTCAGACATCCGTCATATGTCATTATTATACATGATCTATCCTGGTCAATTATGTGGTAAAGTCTAGATAGGGCACTGCAGAGCTGCAGATACGCAAATCCATATAGCATTTTTTTGTGACACTTTACAACAATAAATAATATTTTTACATTACTGTGACGTTGGGTTTAGGGTTGGGGTAGGCATTAATAAAATACAATTTAATAGGTAATTTAATAAATAAGAAATAGTACTCAGTACAACTACTGACTGTGATGGTTGGGTTTAGGGTTGGGGTAGACGTTAATAACAATACAATGAATGGGAAATTTAATAAATAATACCAACAATTCTATTTAACTTCTGGTTGCAACAGTATCTGATCTAACAACAACCCAGTTGCGTCGCTTCACTCCCATTCATGAATTCTCTTGAGGTGCATCATGGGATAGCGTAGTGTCCATTATGTACGCATTTCAAAATCTCGCCAGAAGTAGTAGGTCATCCGGATACATCTCGCATACTGTTTTCCGAATTCTATGAATTCAAGACACACTACTCTGCTCGCGTACTGATTTTAGAGTACTATATAGTATGGAAGTATGAGATTTAGATTTAAGACCTATCTTTTTAGTAAAGCATACACTTAGCTGTATAATACATGAATGTGCTCCATGCTGGTTTCTGCATCTTGTTTATAAACACTATGAACAGCAGCTACGCTAATTATTCTCTTTATTCTCTATTTCTACCTGGGGATACTCATCCCGAAGCCCTCAGCATCACTGATTTGATCCAAGACCAGCGACGAGATGATACCAAGGTTTCCATATCCTGGATCCAGCCCGTATCCTGAGCAGCTGCTGTGGTGGTCATGGAGGAGTAAAGAGCATGAGACTGATTCCTGTGAGGCTCCAGGGACAGATGAGTCTTCGCTGAGCTTCAGCTTCCAGCTTCTAGCCTTTGCCGATGAGACTGCAGCTCTGCACAAGACGTTTGGCCAGTAGAGAAATGGAAACGGTCGTGCCCAACCGAGTCTGGTTTCTCTCAAGGTTTTTTTTCCCTTCACATTTGACAATTAGTGTAGTTTTTTTTATTTTCTTCGCTGCTGTCGCCACTAGCTTGCATGGTTCGGGATCTGTAGAGCTACGCATCGATGGATTTGCTCTTCAGTGTTTGGACTCTCCGTAGTGATTATTAAACCACACTGAACTGAGCTAAACTGAACTGAACTTAAACTCTGAAAATTTAACTGACACTGTTTCTATTTACTATGATCTTTTATGTGAAGCTGCTTTGACACAATCTACATTGTAAAAGCGCTACACAAATAAAGGTGAATTGAATTGAATTTCAGACGCAGCCCTGGAGTATGTGCTACATTTGAATTTGAATTTACCAAACAACCATTAGAAAAGTGTGTACTATAGAGTATGAAAGGAATTCAGACATCCGCCATTTATCATTATCACGAAGTTACATTCAGGGCTCAACAATAAGGACTGCCCGATGGCCCAGGGCCAGCGTGAGAGATGCTCGGGACAGTAGACAGAATCGTTGCTGGCCCGATCGGGGCAGTGCTGCCTTGTCACTAAATTTAAATAGACGGCAACATGACCGTAACATCAAATTATAAGGCTAAAATAAAACGTCTGTTTCTAACGTTGTGGAAACATTTAAATGAGTACAGCACGAAAAAAAAATTTGAAGTGATGTTTTGCATAGTTTGTCGTCACTTTTAAGTCAGCCACCTTTTGTTTTGGAATAAATTACCTGCGCATTTTCCATACTGCTATGTTTTACTGCTAAATATTTTAACATTTTTCAAACATTTAAATTCTGCATTCACATACATTATTTCGTGACACATTATTTAATATATGTGGCTAATAAATAGCAAGGGACTACACTGAATGAAAATGAATGAAGAAAACACACACAAAATGTACATGAAATAATACAAACATAAGTAAACATATCAAAATGCAGGAATCCATGTTTAAGTTGCCAGTAAAATTCCATAACGCTACAAACTGTACTTGTTATTTCTTCATTTTAAGTTGCAAAACTTATGGAATAAGTGTGTGTGACATTTTAGATAACATCAGGACATTTTAAAACCATAATAGTATTGATAACTGTGATCATTTTGGTCATCACTATAACCATAAAAAAAAATTAAAAATCAAACGTTACATCTCTATTTAATTTGAACAGCAGATAGGCTATTTATGCTCAGTTAAACTCAAATATTTAATTCAACTGCATATTATAAATCAAGTTTATTTAAATTTTCATTGGTTTAATGAATTATGAGTGTATGATTGACAATTTTTAGCAGATGCGATATAAAACAAACGGTTAACGTTACAAGTTTGTTGCACCGATGGATGATGATGATAGACTGCACTTATTATTTTACTGTTTAACTTCAGTGCTTGGGCATAAGTGTCTATTAAAATACAAATATAGCGAGTCTGTCTAATTTTACATAATTTTTAGGCTATATGTGTAGATTTAAACCCATATCTTATAAGAAAAGCGTCGTGTGAACACTTACAGCGTCTGCTTGTGGTCATTCAACCGCTGACTGAATATATTTGCCCGCGTAGAATTAACGGCGCGATTGTACATTCAGAATGGTTTGAACCATTATAGGGGTGATCACATGTATATTTATATTATCTATTATTTTAATTATTAGTATCATTATTTAATAAATAGATCAGAGCATGCTAATTCGACTAATTAAATAGCTGTATCCTACTCAAGTCTCGGTTTGACGTCCTTCAGGGGGATCAAGCGTTAATATGAGGTCAAGCGCCCCTGTAATTTGCACCGTTTATACTGACGCTACACTTTTCACGGCAGAACCCGTATTTGTAGTGGCTTCGGATATCAGTGCATTATTTATTCGATGTTTCTGACTGCAAACTCAACCGGAGAGCAAAATCTGAGTAAAACTGAATGCTGAGAAGTAAGAAAAGCTGCAAACATCAGCATCTGTGTGTCGTCCTTGAGGAGAGACAGACAAAACACTCAGATTTCACTGCATTCACTCATTTCTGGATGAATACTGCTGTGAAGGACAAGAGGAAATGGGACAGAAAATAAAGGAAAGTAATGCTGTCTTGTCATTGCATTCGTAAACATACATATTCATATGTATTAACATGCTAATAAATGTATATATTTAGAATTAATATGTGAAATTATTTATGATTTTATAACTATATAATATTGATATGATTTTATTTTATTATTTAGTTATATACTAAATGTAGTATGCAATTAGTTATATAAAGCAAAGATTATTTATTAAATCAGTAATAAAACTAATCAGGCCCATAGCCAGGGGTGGGTTGGGAAGACCTACCCCTCAATGACAAAGGTCCAGAATTTGTTCCATACACGAGCTCATTTGTCTTACTTTTACTGGTATTCCTTCAAAAACTGTGAAATTAATCCACACAAAAAAAGCTTTAAGACCAAGCAGAATCCTATATAAAAATTAATTTGAAAACTAATTTGGCTATTTGTGTTATTCATGAATTTTCAATCAAATCAAATGCATTTTTTTACAAGAAAGTGAAGCTCTTTTATTATTATTATTAAGTTTTAATTTTTTATTATTCAAATAGCCAAATTCTGACTGAGGACAGTTGAATGTTCTGGCCAGTTTGTTGGCTACAGTAAGCTACAGTTTTTAATCTAAAACTTTAACAGAGTCCTATTTTTTGTAATGATTTATGATGTAATAAATTTGTATTTTAAAAATAAGTATTCATTCATTTTTCTTTATTCTAAATCTTTAGGAAATATTTTGGTACATTAAATGTGTCATTATGATGACGGTCTAGCTAATCCAGCTAAAGATAGTGCTTAAAATGTCACTAAAATGCAGTATTTAAATCTCATAAAATGTAAATGAGGTGAACAATTGCAAAAAGATCCACATTTTGAGAAACAGAACCACCACTTATATCAGGCTGGCTACCGGCCTGAAGTTATTAAATAAGTTACAAAAAACAAATAAATACTACAAAAATCACGAAAAATTACAACAACATAATATTTACAAATTACAACAAAATAGTTAAAATAAATATGCAAATTTAAATATATAAGCTCATAAGTACTGTTGTGAGAATATACAAATACTGATGTAAATGAAAACGAAAAATAAAATAATAATAAAATAAATAAAATAATAAATGAAAAATAAAAATAAACTACACTTTACAGGAATAGTTAGGAGGACAATGTATGTCAAAGACAATTAAATAAATATGTTTAAAATACATATGAAGGTGATATATAAAACTAAGCAGGATACATATAATTGTCCCACTAAACAGAGTAAATAAAGCGTGCACACACACACACACGTTTGTTTTTGTGAAAAGTGGGGACATTACATAGGTTTCCATTCATTTTATACTGTCCAAACCATAAATTGTATTGCCCTCACCCCACCCCACCCCTAAACCCAACCATCACAGGAGACTGTGTGCAGCTTTACTCTCTGATTAAACTCATTCTGTAGGATTATCTAAGCATTTTGAGAAATGTCCTCATATTTCACCTCCTTTTGTAATAATACTTGTGTCATACCCATGTCATTATACAGATTTTTGTCCTGATGTCACAAAAACACGTACACACACAAACACAAACACACACACACGTTTTACTACACAATTAATTATGCACTATACAATTAATAAAACCAATAAAAGCACTATACAATGCTTAAAAGCATTAATAAAAGCACTACAAAATAAACTTCAACTGATTTGAATATACTTAATGCTTCAAATAAATATGTTATAAGTTATGATGTAATAATTATGCAAATGCATGAATGTATTAAAATATATATACAAAAACAAAAATGCCACACAGTATTAAAATAGAGCATGAAATATAAAACTGATTAAAGTCTAATATCTTTTCAATGAATAACATAACAATACGTTACATATAAATTAGTGAGATAGGTTTGTGGAAAAGGAGAAAAAGCTTTCAGTAATGAGATTTAAAGCTGAATAAACAGAGACGGGAGCAGACGGTGTCACTCACCACAGTGCAGGAATGACTCTCTCTCTCTTCCCCCTCTCTCTCTCTCCTCAGGTGTGCAGAAGAATCCACACAGGTGTGTCCTGATGAAGATGAATGTGCAGAGGAACTGCGTGACTGTATGTGTGTGTGTGTGTGTGTTGTCTTCTGCTGTGTGAGACGGTTATCAACTCTCTCCTCATTCACCAGCACTGATCCTCACAGGAGGCAGGGGGAGGAGCCAAGCAGATGAGTGACAGCAGCTCAGCGGGAGACGCGCACACACACAAACAACTCGTATAACAAACACATCACACACACATAACGGAGACAAACAACACACTCTTTAATGTACACACACACGCGCGCACACTCTCAAACACATCACACAAACATAACACAGACAAACAACACACTCTTTAATGCACTACACACACACACACACACACACACACAAACACACAACACTCGAACACATCACACACTTACTCACAAACACATGTACATTATAACACTCAACACACTGTCAAACACAGGCACACACTCACTTAGAAACACACATATAACACACACACACTGAAAAACACAAACACACACACACACAGTCTCAAACATATCACACACAACATACTTTCTCAAACACATTACACACACATTTTCAATCTCACACACATACAAACCAAAAGATCTTACACCCAACAAAACACCCAGAAAACACCCAACAAACCCACTACACATCTCTAACACACACACACATACTATATGCACTCACAAACACTCACTCACACAAAACACTCTCATACATGCATACAACACACACACACACACACACACACACACCTGATTTATAAATTGTACACACACACTATATATATACACACAACACACACACACACACACACACACACAAATATAAACACAGAAACACACTACGCGCACTCACAAACACACACTCAGACACACCACACACATAAAACACTCTCATACTTACAACACACACACACTCACTCACTCTGCACACAAACAAAACACACATATAAATTGTACACACACACTATATATGTGTATGCACAACACACATACATACACACACAAACACACACAAATATAAACACACAAACACACTACGCGCACTCACAAACAGCCACATCACACACATAAAACACTCTCATACTTACAACACACACACACCTACACACTCACTGACTCTGCACACAAACAAAACACACATATAAATTGCACACACACACTATATACATACTACATACAACACACACACAAATATAAACACACTACGCGTACTCACAAACACCCACTCAGACACACCACACATAAAACACTCTCATACTTACAACACAAACACACCTACACACACTCACTCTGCACACAAACAAAACACGCATATAAATTGTACACACACACACACACACACAACACAACACACGTAAAACAACGACAAACATACATATAGTACATACAACACACAAACAAAACAAACAAACACACACACACCACACGCATATATACACTCTTAAACATACACTCACACACACACACCACACACATAAAACACTCATACATACAACACACACCCACGCACATACCACATACAGAACACAAAGTCTCACACAACACACACACACACACACACACACAAATATATAACAAACACAAACAGACACACACATATATATTCTGAAATACGCACCCACCCACCCACACCCACACACACACACACACGCATGTTTGACAGATAACATTGAGTGGACTGAAGGGAAAGAGCGCTGAATGCAGATGAGCAGGCAGTATTTCATGGGTCTTGAAAAGGTCACTGTTTACGGCCCGTTTGACTCCACAGATGAGTTTTACTGCAGTGAAACCTGCAGACGACAAGCTGATTTCTGCACAATCACAACATCAGTCTGCTGCTGTACGCTTACACACACTTTTTATGCAGGTCTGCTATGTTCATTTCTACATAGAAACAGTACGGGACAAAATATTTGACCGTGTGCGAGAGAGAGTGTTTTATGTGTTGTGTGTAAGTTTGTGAGTGTGTTATGTGTGGGAGCATTATATGATTGTAGTTTGTGTGTTTGTGTGTGTGTGTGTGTGTGTGTGTGTGTGTTATATGTGTGTGAGAGACTGTGTTGGACATATTAAGCTATGTTAACCATCTGCTAAAGCATACTAGCAACATATGTAAGCTATTTAAGGGCTTAAAACATGTTATCAACATATCAAAACAAGCTAAAACATGGTTATTCAAGTGCTAAAACATGTGATCAATATATTAAAATACCAAAAAATGGGCTCAACATACTAAAATACTGTAACCATGAGCTAAAACATACTAGCATCATGCTATTTAAGTGCTAAAACATGCTATTAATATACATTAATATGCTAAAGATGTGAAAAACATGTTAAGAAACAAACATGCTAGCAACATGCTATTAAATAGTGGCAAGACATCTAACAAACATGATAAAGCATGCTAGCATGATATTAAAACACTAAAACATACCAGCAACATGCTAAATTATGTAAAAAGAAATGCTAAGTGTTCTAAAACAATGTTAAAACATGATTGTAACATTCTCAAAGGCTCTAAAATGGCTAGAAAATATACAAGTAGTGTGCTAAAACATGCTAGCAACCTACATTTACATTGTGATCTACTTATTTACTTCCTTTTATTTAGTTTATTTATTATTTTTTGCACACTTTCAGTCATTTAAGCATCTATTATATAGTAAAATATATACATTTTGTTTTAAATAATACCATTAAATTTGCCGAAATTACTAACTAAAACAAAACAACATCTGTTGCATATTCATGGGATAGTCATGCATGCACATATTACAATATTGAAATGTGCTCAAATGAAAAGAAACCTGAGCATTCAATTGGACTTTATTTCATACGGCGAAATAGTGAGAATAACATAACATACAAAATAACACACAGATCACTGAATATAATGAAGATATCTTTGGCTATTTTACCCATTTTAATAAGGCACATCAATTCATCAGTAAACAACAACATCAACGGAGAAAAAAAACATAAAACTCAGAATGAAATGGCGCAGATGTAGTGAAACTCTCATCTTAAAAGTGTCTTGGCGTTTTATATTGAATGAGAGCAGAATATTTTGGTTTTTAAAACACGCAGATTTACATTAAGATTCATCTGTTGATATACTGACACCTGGTGGACATACCTGCTCATTACAACACATGGATAACAATCGCTCAAATGGCAGCCGACTTGTAAACATTAACAACATAGTAATAGTCAAATAGTAAACATTAACAATATGCATAATAAAAAACTTAATGTTTAAAATCATAATTATACATGGCTCTAAAACCGATTTACACTCCTCATGTATCGGCTCTTCTTTCAATGATATCTTCCATGTTATAAATAAACTCTTGCTTCTGGTAAAACACGATGTTGTTTCATTAAAGGCACGTAAAAATCAACACGTGGACAACAATATGGCAAATGTATTTAAGAAATGCCCACCATATTGAATGATTTCATGTAAACAGAGCATGCATTAGAAGCCCTTCACCCTGAAGTGTATGTTTGGCAAATGAAAGAATGGTTTATAATGGCATACAGAACAGAAATGCATCTGAATCAGCATACTTTGTGAATGCATTTACTGCATGTTACTCATATACTATTATATGATGTCCTAAAATACCCAGATTGTTGAGACGAATACAGTGGAAAGCACATAATACCAGAAAATGAGGGATAGTTCACTTAGAAAATGTAAATTGTTATTATTTACTCATTGCTGAAATGCTCGTTTTTGTTTTGTTTCTAGTCTAAATATACACACTGCAAAAAATGCTTTTCTTACTTACATTTTTTGTCTCGTTTCTAGTCCAAATATCTAAAAACTCTAAAATCAAGCATAATTTAACGAGCAAAACATACTGTCTTGTTTTAAGATATAATATGCCAAAATTAAGTGAGTTTTCCTTAAAACAAGTTAAATAATCTGCCAATGGGGTCAGCAAAATAATCTT